TAAAGTCTTCCTTTTCTTATTGCTGCGTTAATAAAAAGAGAGGAAGAAAAGAAACAAATAATAATAAATAAGCAAAAGAATTAATTAATAATATAATTATTTATTATTTATTAATATATATATTATTTATTAATAATATTATTTATTAATAATATTTATTATTATATATTATTTATTAATAATATAATTAATATATAAATAAATAAATAAATAAATAAATAAAAGGAAATAAATAAATAAATAAATAAATAAATAAATAAATAAAAACAGACAAACAAATCTAAATAAATACAAATAATATCTGCTATTTATTATCTGCATTAAGGAAGGATCTATTAATCAACAAACAATATACAACCATCCCTCTTGCTGCTGCTGCTGCTGCTGCTGCTGCACATTTTGCTGCTGCAGCTGCAGCTGCTGCTGCTGTTGCTGTTGTTCCTCCTTTTGCTGTTGTTGCTGCTCCCTTGTTGCTGCATTCTTTCCCGCTGTCTGTCCCCACTCCCTTTCCTTCTCCCGCCGCTGCTGCTGCTGCAGGTGCTGCTGCTTTCTGCTGCTGCTGCAGCAGCAGCAGCTGCCGCTGCTGCGTATAATTATCCTCCTTCTTTGCTAACAAGTCCTTCTGCTGGTGGCAGCGGCTGCCATAAGGAAGAGAGCAGCAGCAGCCTCTCCCCTGCTAATGAATCAGGTGTATTGCATGCAGAGGAAGCAGAAGCAGCACTGCAGCAGGAAGTAGCAGCAGCAGAATCATAACCATCAACAGGAGAATCTATATAAGAACAACTAAGAGGAGCTTGTTGTCTATTATTATTAGATCCTCTTCCTGCTGCTGCTGCTGCTGCGGCTGCTGCGGCTGCTGTAGTAGCAGATGTAGAAGGAGGGGAGTCAGCTGCTGCAGCAGCCGCTGCTGCAGCGGCTGCTGCTGCTGCTGCTGCTGCTGTTGATGCTGCGGTTGCTGCGTTAGATGGTTGCTGCTGCGATACCCGACGGTGCAGCTGCTGTAGCTGCTGCAGTTGCTGCAGCTGCTGCAGTTGCTGCAATTGCTGCAGTTGCTGCAGTGATGGCGATAATCCAAGAAGTCCCTCTGCTGCTGCTGCTGCTGCTGCAGTGTTGCTGCTGCCAACACCAACACCAGCACGTGACGGAGTCCCTCCCTCTTGCTGCTGCTGCAGCAGTCGGTTGTTGTTGCTGTTGCTGTTGCTGCTGCTGTTGCTGCTGTTGTTGCTGCTGTTGCCAGCAACAAGACACTCAAGAGCAGCAACTTTCCTCTCTAATTCTTCTAATAGAGTTGCTGCTGCTCCGCTGCGTGCTGCATCTCCTTCCCGTGCCTCCCGCTGCGCTGCTGCTGCTGCTGCTGCTGCTGCAGGTGCAGTAGGTACTGCTGCTGTTGCAGGTGCAGGCGTAGGTAGAGGTGTAGGTGTTGCAGTTGCTGCTTGTCCAGCTCCAGCACCTGCTGCTGCTGCTGCTGCTGCTGCTGCTGCAGTACTAGATAGTCCTACCTCCTCCCCTAGTCGCATAATAAGTTGCTGACTAAGAGAAGATTGAGGATCTCCCTTAATAGCACCAAGACAATTAGATAGTGCTGCTGCTGCTGCTGCTGCTGCTGTATTCCTATCTCCCGTCCCCTTCCTATTTACTCCCCCTACAGCCCCTACCCCTCCTGCTGCTGCAGCAGCAGCAGCAGCAGCAGCAGCATTAGTATCACAGTTCTTTAGGCTCTCTGTTAATTCCATGATTTGTTTTTGTACAGCCAAGAGCTGAATAACTTGTAAGTATTGAGCAGCAATTGTATAATTTGTTGTTAATGCATGCAGATCTAATGGTACTGCAGCACCACCTGCAGCAGCACCACCACCACCAGCAGCAGTTGCTGCTGCACCAGGTGATGATGCTCCTCCTCCTGATGATAATGATGGTCCTCCTGTTGAAGGAGAGGAAGAAGGAGAGGAAGAACTCGCAGATCCACAACCGGAGGATCCATGGTCTGCTGCTGCTGCTGCTGCTGCTGCTGCTGCTGCAGCTGCTGCTGCTTCGGAAGGAATTGATGGAAGTCCACCTAAACAGTCTCCTGCTGCTGCTGCTGCAGCTGCTGCTGGGTGTATAGGGACTCCTGCTGCAGCTAATAGACTAATAGCGTCACTACCTGCGGCAGCAGCAAGACCTGCAGCAGGAAGCTTCGTTCTTCTGCTGCGTTTTTGCTGCTGCTGCTGTCCCAAGACAGCAGCAACAGCAGCAGCAGCACCACCACCACAGCTATGTACGCTGTTGTTGCTGTTGCTGCTGCTACCGCTATTACGGCGATTGCTGCTGTTGCTGCTGCCAAGTTTATCATATCTTTTCCATGTGCTGCTGCTGCTGCTGCTGCAGGTCTCACCAGGGAGTTCAGCAGAGAAGAAGAATCGTCCTTGTTGACCACTGGTCTGTTCGGATTCAAGTTGCTGCTGCAGCATTAACAACTGCTGCTGCTGTTGCTGCTGCTGCTGCTGCTGCTGCTGCGGATCGTGCTGCAGCAAACCACTTAATTCTTTTAGATCCTCACTAAAGACACCATCATTTATATAATTTTTTCCCCATATACTATCCGTAAATTCTTTGAGGTGTCTTTGCTGCTGCAGCGCAGCAGCAGCATGCGTTGCTGCTGTTCCTGCTGCTGCTGCTGTTCCTGCTGCTGCTCCTCCTGCTGCTGCATCGGCCTGTGAATCAACAACAGCTCTAAGGAAAGATTCATGTACACCAGCAGATGATCCTTCTCTTCCTCTAAGGACAGCAGCAAGTAGATCATCTTGCTGCTGCTGCTGCTGCTGCTGTTGTTGTTGTTGCTGCTGCTGTTGCTGCTGCTGTCGTTCATTAAATCCTCCTTGGCTGTCCCAGTGGAATAGAGCATTAGTACTAGCATCATTCGGTACACCAGCAGCACCACCAACTGCTGCTGCTGCTGCTGCTGCTGCTGCACTACCATTTCTTGGTCTTTTAGGGGAAGGAGCAGCAAATCTTAATGCATCTGTTAATGTCTCATAGTCACGTAAGTAAGCAGGACTTGTTCTTCTTGCTCGTCGAGGTCTAGGTGCAATTAAATGTTGCTCCTCTCCTGCTGCTGCTGCTGCTGCACTAGATCCATTGCTGTTGCTGCTGCTGCTATTACTATTATTATTATTATTATTATTATTATTATTATTATTATTAGTCCGCCTCTGTCTTCTTCTTACAGTAATAGTACTATTATTATTCCCTTTATAAGAGCCATCAGCAAACTCCCCTTCCCCTTCTCCTCCTCCCCCTCCTTCCTGTTGCTGTGCATTACTATTATTATTATCACTATTATTATTATGATTATTATTATGATTATTATGATTATGATTATTATTATAATTATTATTATTATTATGTTTATATTTTCTTCTTTTATGATTATGATGATTTGTATGCTCATTACCATATTCCTCTGAGCATTTAACAGCAAAATCGAATACACCAAGAAGATGAGCTAAATGGAATAATTCAATTACTGTACAATATGGCATTCTGCTGAAAATAATTCTATGACGTGATAATTCTTCTTCCCATTTAATAGGGTTCGAATGATATGCTTTTCTTAGACGTCTAAGTAGTATCTGACGACCTTCTGCACCTAATGGCATACGGAAACCTTTTACCCATTGAATACGATTATTATTATTATTATTGTTGTTGTTACTGCTTGTATTCGATGAGACGGTCTGATTAAGTGGTGATGAGCTTGGGTTATTATTTATATTTAATGAGTTATTGTTGTTGCTGCTGCTGTTGCTGCTGTTGCTGCTGTTGCTGCTGCTGCTAGAATTATTTGGACGCACGTGAGCCTCTATACGCTCCACTACGGCATCCAATGGATGCCAATCGTTACTACGGTCGGACCCACGACGGTGGGATGGTGGTGCTGGTGGTGGGGTTGCTGCTGTTGTTGCTGCTGCTGCTGTTGCTGCTGTTGTTGTTGTTGTTGCTGTTGCTGTTGCTGTTGTTGATGATGCTGGAGGAGATGGAGTAGGGGCAGCAGCAGGAGAAGAAGAAGAAGAAGGAGGAGAGGTAGATACAGTACTAGTTGGGGAGGACACAGATGGAGATACAGAAGAAGACGAATCCGTTGCTGCGTCGGATGATGATGATGATGCTGCTGCTGCTGCTGTTGTTGCTGCTGCTGATGTTGATGTTGTGGTGCTCGTTGTAGTAGTTGAATCTGCGGATGGAGAAGAAGACGAGGCAGCAGCAGGAACTCCTGCTGCTGCTGCTGCTGATTTTTGTTGTGCAGCAGCAGCAGAAGAAGAAGAAGAAGAGATAGACGCAGGCGCAGCAGATTTCAAATCAACTCCTGCTGCTGCTGCTGCTGCCGTTCCTGCTGCTGCTGCTGCTGCTGCTGTTTTAGATGATCCGTCAGACGCTGCGTTAAGAAGCTTAGTTTCTTTTGCTGCTACATTTGCTGCTGCTGCATCTGCTGCTGCATCTGCTGCTGCATCTGCTGCTGCTCTTTTATCATGCGATAAGAAGGAGCTATTCTTTGCTGCTGCAGTTTCGCTACAAAGATTGGCCCGTTGCTGCTGCTGCTGCTGCTGTTGCTGCTGCAGTTGCTGCTGAACTGGTCTTTTTTGATCCTCAAGATCCTTATGGAGATGGATCTGCTGCTGCTGCTGCTGCTGCTGCTGCACTTCTCTCTTGATAGAGCTGGTGTCTGCTGCAGCAGATGTGCTGCAGCTGTCGCACTCCATCGACTGACAGTCTTTCTCCGCTGCTGGTCTTGCTGCTACTGCTGCTGGTCCATCAGGTGCTGCTGCTGCTGCTGCTGCTGTTGCTGCTGCCGCTGCAGCAGATATTTTATCGTGGGGAGGTGTATGTGTAGAAGACGTGGGTTGCGCTGTTGCTGTTCTTCCAGCAGCAGAAGAAGAAGTTGCAGGTGCTGCAGCAGCTGCTGCTGTTGCTGCTGTTGCAGCAGCAGCAGCAGCAGCAGCAGCAGCAGGATGGTGTAAGGAATCCATGATAAGGGAGTCGGGTGTATAGATGTCTATTTACGAGTTGTCCTTAGAGGAGGCGCTGCGATTTGCTTCTCATCCTGCTGCTGCTGCTGCTGTTGTATATATTGTACTGTCTGTTGCTGCTGCTGCTGTTGCTGCTGCTGTTGATGTGGATGTTGCTGTTGATGCTGCAGGAGTAGCGTTGCGATGTGCTGATGTGGTGCTGCTGCTGTTGCTGCAGCAGCAGCAGCAGATCCTTGTTGCAGAGGATGTACCGCTGCTGCTAGTAAGAGAGTTGTCTGGGTGTCTCTATTAGGGTAAGGAAGGGAGAAGAGGAAGTAGGGTGCGTGTCGGAGTCGCAGCAGCAGCAGCAGCAGCAGCAGGAACAGCAGCAGCAGCAACAACAGCAGCAGCAGCAACAGGGGAACTCACAGGCACTCAAGACATGCACCAGAAAGAAGAAAAGAGGAAGAAGATAAAAGTAATTAAAAAACAAAAAGAAGAAGGAAAGAAGAAGAAGGTTTTGCTGCAGGACCGATCCTTGCTGCAGCTAGCCGTGGTCGCTGTTGTGCTGCTGCTGCTGCTGCTGCTGCTGCTGCTGCAGTTGCTGCAGTTGCTGCGGCTGCCGCAACAAATCACGCCTTCTCCTTGTAGAAATACACAAAAACCTTATAAGAATACAAACTCTCCCTTGCTGCTGCTTGTCTTCTGCTGCAGCTACCGTCGCAGCAGCAGCAGCAGCAGCAGCAGCAGCAGCAGCAGCAACGCTTCGATGGGTGGGGTAGCCGCCGCGCCCGCTGCTGCTGCTGCTGCTGCTGCTGCCGCTGCTGCTGTATATATATATACTAGTCACCTTCCTCCTTATACAGCTTATCTGCTGCAGCAAATATAATAAAATTAGCAGCAAAAAGAACACATTGCTTCTTACGGGCAAACAAAACACAAAAAGATGCAGCAGCAAAAAGCTCAGCATACACCCGGTGGATCGGCCGGAGAGAGGAGGAGCCGCGCGGTCAGCAGCAACAGCAGCAACAGCAGCAGCGGCGGCAGCAGCAGCACAACAAGCGGCAACAAACAGCAGCACAACAACAACAACAGCAGCAGCAACAAATAAATAAAATAAATTAAATAAAAATATAAAATAAATAATTAAATAAATTAAATAAAATAATTCTCTTATAGACACACTTCCTCTTCTTTCTTGTCTGCGCACACAAGGAAGAGAGGCTCGATGCCCCGATGCAGCAGCAGCAACAGCAGCAGCAACAGCAGCAGCAACAGCCGCAGCCGCAGCAGCAGCAGCAGCAGCAGCAGCAGCAGGCGCTAACGAAATCTTTTCTTCTTTATTTTATTCTTATATTAAATTCAATCTATAAATCTATTTTTGCGACTAATAAAAATGTGACTTTTGCTGCTGCTGCTGCTGCTGCTGCTGCTGCTGCTGCTGCTGCTGCCGCTGCAGCAAGAGTGGTAACAGAGGAGCGGCCGCTCCACCCCGGTGCTGTCCTGTCTGTGTCTGTCAGACAAC